CTTAAAATTTTATTGAGTGTAATTCTCGCTTATGCTGCAATTGTATTTCTTGTGTTTTAATATAATTAAATCAGTAATTTATCAGTGGCGTTATTTTTCATCTTTATATTAGTCCACTCACAAAGTCATTTTTAAAGACTTACCATAACCTGACAAGAAATTGGGCAAAAAGGCAATAAGGCGTCTTGTCAGTTGGTTCTTGCAACTAAAATCTATGCAAGTACCTGTGCATTCACTTTATACCACACATACCAACTGAACTTAGCGCGAAAGACCCTCCACATTTGTATGTGACTGATCAAAGGATTCTTAATGCATAACAAATTTATGGGATCCTTCGATGCTGGAAGCTTATTCACCAAGATTTGTTTAGGTGAAAGTATTGAACCTGTTAAACTAGCGATCTCGTATATTGCACTGTAGTAACATTTCTTCCAGCTATTCAGTGCAAAAGGATAGACGCTTAAGAGAGCTAACTGTTTCAAATTACTTCAAGGCAGTCAGTCTTTCTGTCTGATAAATAACTTCACGGTTCGTCCCTTTGACGCGCTACGTGAAGACGTTGATCACGATTAGGGCAATTTTCATGAGAAAAGCAACCGGACTGAGCCGGCATCGGGACGAATTTTATCTTCTCATCACATGGGGAATTTCAGCTCAGTGACCGAAATAAAAACGGCTTGAGACGAACTTTGAGCGACATTAGAGAAAGACAATATAAAGAAAGGCTCCACGTTGACGGACCTTGTATAAGAGGGCGATTAAAATTCAGTTTCAGTTCAATTGTTCACTTGTTTCTTTTATCATAGCTCAGCACCTTGAAGAGCTTCACTTAGAGAAACTCTGAAGGCTGTTTTTGTTTCTTTAAGAATTTTACAGCGTAAAGCGGAGTTCAAAAAGTAACTCGACGCGAAGCGCACGTTAAAAAAAATGGTTAATTTTGTGATTGAGATCATTTCATAGTGCAGATTTCGGTAAAGCTACTGATGTAACCATAAAAATTATTTTTTCCCTCTTAATGGAACTACGTCACCGTTTGCGCATCTCGAACAGTTAGTCTAAAGTCTTCAAGTTCGTCGTTTGTAATCCTTGTTAATCTTTTCCATCCTTAACGAATTTGTTTCTTTATGGTTTATTATTAAATAAATCCCTAGTGCTTTTCTATCTTAGTAAACTACTATTTTTAGTTTCAATTTAAAAGTAATTTTGTGCGTGGCCAAAATAACTCAAAATGCTGCGACTGAGCTCCTTTAATTTCCCGGACATTTCCTTTTGACAAAAGCAAGCTTGGAACCCGGACTGACGATATCTTAGTAGTATTGATGTAAGCGTCGTTTCACACTTTTCACATCTTATCACGAAATTCTTAGTCTTTTCTTTGAAGCGTTGGAATAGATCCTTCTACGATTTTTGGGCGCCATCATTGATTGGGAGGCAATCAAAACAACAGTAAATTTACAGGTTTTTGCCAGACTTTTAGTTACTGTATCGTAGAATACATACCCCTTGAATGATATATTTGGAGAAATCTTTAAGAAAAATGTAAACTTTCTTACATACCCTTCTTATTAAAATTTGCAGTTAGATTAGACCCACGCCAGAGATCTCCAAAGCAGTCAACACTCACACGGGTGTTATCTTTTGTAATATCTGATAATTTCCTGATACACATGAGTGATACACCTTTGCAAAGCAGCTTGTGAAAATCCTACACCTCCGAGCCGAGTTAAAACTGTAATGTTTGCTGCATTCCTCCTGCTGTCACAGATGCTCTTAAAAATCATAGAAGGGTCTATTTTTGCTTTATTTTGGTAGTATTTCTGGCTGTACTATGAAGCCTGTAGTTCATGTTAAAGCTCAGAAAAACACGTGATAAAAACACGTGATCACGCACGTGGAACATGAGAAATTTTCAACATCATGTCGTTTTTTCTTATGTAACACATTCACGTGTTTTTGAAAATTGAAGACTAGAAAAGGTTTGAAAAGTAAGTACCGGAAATAGTGATTATCTTGTACAGAATCAACTAGAACTAATTCAAAAGGTCCACAGCCGGAAACTGTTCTAAAAATGTGTTTATTTACATTGAATGCCGTTGAAAGTTTCGAAAACTTAGGCGAAGTTGTTCTGTTGTAAAACAAAGAGATTTGAGAATGTTTAACTCGATGCCTAATCGTCGATTCTTTGGGTTTCTCGACCGAAACATCTGAAAGTGTAGCTCTTTTCCGGGGGTACCCTCAGAGAGATTGGGTAGGGGTTTTTGGCCCACTTCACAAAACCCTTACCCTATTTAAGAAAAAATCCGTGATTTTTCCTACCCTATTTATGACCTGACCAAAAATTGGAAAAACGCTGTTGAAGACGTTACCCTTAAATCAATACCCTGTTTCAGACCTGCCCTCTAATTAGTTCCCTAGACAGACAGATGTTAAACTCTCTGTGATGATCTTATCGGTAATGATGAAAAAAGTAGCTTCTTTTGGCAAAATAAAAAGCGATTCAAGACTAGAGCGCAAAACCATACCTTATTTGAGACCAAAATGGCCAAAACTGATACCTATTTCTGACCAATACGGCTAAAAACCCATACCTTTTAGGGCTGCATATACACATATAGCCCATATTAAAGAGTAGCCCTNATCTCCAAAGCAGTCAACACTGCACTCACACGGGTGTTATCTTTTGTAATATCTGATAATTTCCTGATACACATGAGTGATACACCTTTGCAAAGCAGCTTGTGAAAATCCTACACCTCCGAGCCGAGTTAAAACTGTAATGTTTGCTGCATTCCTCCTGCTGTCACAGATGCTCTTAAAAATCATAGAAGGGTCTATTTTTGCTTTATTTTGGTAGTATTTTTGGCTGTACTGTAAAGCCTATAGTTCATATTAAAGCTCAGAAAAAGAAGAAAGCTTGATGATGTTATGCGTTGATCTGAGTCTTCACCGAGATTGCTTTCTTAAATATCCTATATAAAAGCTAAGGATGGCCTCCCAGGGATTTTGGGGAACAAGGGAACATGACAATTTATTCCCAGGGAACAAGGGATATTTTTGGGGTTAATTAATTTTTGGAAACAAGAGATATCTTTACTATTAAAGGGAACTTTGACGAGAAAATTAGGGACCAATGGAATTTAGAACAAGGGAGAAAAAGTGAAATTTTTAAGGGATCAATGGAACATGCCAACCCCGCGCCCCCCTGCCCCCTGGGAGACTCTCACTAAGGGAAAATTATTTTCCGTTAAGTTCCAAAAGTAACGAGCCGAATGTAATGACCCTCCCACAATGGTGATAAACTTTGACTCCTGTTAGTAAATCCCAACATAGCGACATTCCAAGCTAACGACCACTAAAAGGCAGGGACCTCCCACGTAATTAGAAACGATGAAAATAGCAGATACAACAACCTGAAACAAATTGCAATTTTACATGTTTTAGAAAACGTTTTATTGTCTTCGGCAAAATTTCCTTCTTTCCTCACACGGTATGTGGAGAATATATTTTCATCTTATTGACNACAACAACCTGAAACAAATTGCAATTTTACATGTTTTAGAAAACGTTTTATTGTCTTCGGCAAAATTTCCTTCTTTCCTCACACGGTATGTGGAGAATATATTTTCATCTTATTGACCCAGTTATCCTGGGCTTTGGCTTTTGGTTTTGAACCTGGTTAGGATGGGGGGGGGGGAGCGTTTTGTCCCCCCAGCCCATTGTTTCAAAGAGTGCTCACTTATAATTATAGTATGAATAAGTGATAAACATGCGTCAATCATGATGTCATACCTCGGGTAAATGACAGCATAGTTTTAGAATGTCCGCCATCTTGGATTTCAAGCGTTGTGGATATACCGGAGTCTAAGTTAGTCTAATGTGCTTGCATACTAGATTCTAGTTCGTCTTGTGTGATCGTCCAGGTGAGGTTACTTCTGATAAGAACTCTTGTTGGTGACTGACGTTTCGACAACCTGTGCGCAAGTCATCTTCATATTTGTTTCCTTCATTTAAAGTGGCATGCCTGTGAACTAGCTAGGTGTAGCTAAGCGCATTGACCACCATAAACAGCAACATTTGAACAACATTTTTTTTTTT